GGAGGGAGGGAGGAAGGGAGGGAGGGAGGGAGGGAGGGAGGGAGGGAGGGAGGGAGGGAGGGAGGGAGGGAGGGAGGGAGGGAGGGAGGGAGGGAGGGAGGGAGGGAGGGAGGGAGAGAGGGAGGGAGGGATGGAGGGAGGGAGGAGGGGAGGGAGGGAGGGAGGGAGGGAGGGAGGGAGGGAGGGAGGGAGGGAGGGAGGAGGGGAGGGAGGGAGGAGGGGAGGGAGGGAGGGAGGGAGGAAGGGAGGGAGGGAGGAAGGGAGGGAGGGAGGGAAAGTATGCCCACACGGAGATGACGATACCCACAAAATGAGCTACTTAATCAAGCGTCACTCGTTGTGCAGCAGCAGAGCATATGGAGCGGAGCAGAGAGCGGCTGCCTGGACGCAAACGGTCGCGCAGGAGAGCAGAGAGCAGGAGTTCGAGAGAGCGCGCGAGAGAGCGGGTGAGAGCGCGGGAGAGCGCGGGAGAGCGCGGGAGAGTGCGGGAGAGCGCGGGAGAGCGCGAGAGAGCGGGGGAGAGCGCGAGAGCAAGGGGAAGTGCGCGGAAGCGTGCCTTGGCGAGGACGGTGTGTGAGATGACGTTGGTGAGACGCATGTCGCATGGAGAGAGAGAGAGGGGCGCGAAGGGAAGCGAGGGAGAGCGAGGGGGAACGAGGGAGGGCGAGGGGGAACGAGGGAGAGCGAGGGGGAACGGGAAGAGGTGAGGAGAGGGCGAGCGAGTGGGGAGCGTGCCTTGGCGAGGATGGTGTGCGAGGTGACGTTGGTGAGATGCATGTCGCACTCCAGACTCCTGCCCGCCTCGACTGCCGCCACACACGCAGCGCCGCACCCACATGGCACAAAGAGCAGCAGGCACAGGACAGTAGGCACAGCACAGGGAGCAACAAAGCGGCAGAAACACCCGGGGAAACACAGGGGCACAGGCGCGGGGACGGCAACAGGGCCATAGCCGGGAAAGAGATCGACGGGTGTGAGGGGGAAATGAATGGTGCCCCAATTGCGACTGGAGAAAATGAGGGGACGGACGCAGCCTTTGGATCAGAAAGAAGCGCGAGAGTTGGCGCAATCCGCCAAGGCAAGCGGAAGACACGGGACGAAACGTATAGGAGAGACGGGGAGGAGAAGGGAGAAGAGGCGAGGAGAGAGGTGACAACGCGATGGAAGTGACAGCATTAAAAAAGGGAAAGAAAGAGAAAACTTCAATGTGACTGAGAGATGACGAGGCGACGGAGGCGGCGCGTGTGCGTACACGGCAGGTGGAGCTCGTCGGGCGACACGCGGACGGTTTCGAAAAGCATCGCGACGACCGGGTGCGCGGGAGACGACGAAATGGGTGGGATTCGCGAGCGTTGCTACTGGATTCGCGAGATTCGCTAAGAGCGTCCGATGCTTGTATCGAGGATGGGTAAACTTCGCTACGCCGAGAAGCGAGGGTGGATTAGAACCGTGTTCTCGCGTTTGAACAGCGGAGCTAACACGAAAAAACAAATATGAAGATTGCCCTGTTTCGCATATAAAGACTCTTGGAAAATAATGAGAAACAAGATAGCAGCTGAGAGGCTATGGCTGACGTAACAGTGCGATATAACGACCGGGTACGGTAGGTGTGACTCTCAACAATGTCATTCGCCGCATTGCGTGCACGCACAATGCGGGACTTCTGCTCAGACGACTTGCGCCATCCTGCGTTCCTGTCCCGACTGACTTCAGGTCTCTCCTCCCAACAAGCCGGGAGATGCGGCGCGGCGTGATCCTGGAAGCCTCATTGATTCATGTGCTGGAATTATTGGATGCGCTTATTGGATGGGCTGGTTCAGCAGCAGTAGCAAAACACGGCAGAGCAGAGCTGAATCTGACAGATTTTGAACTTCGACAATTCAACCGCGTGTGTCTTCTGGCGAAAATTGTCGAAGTTCAAAATCTAACCGCTTTGCACCGTGGCGACACGTCTCTCAACTGTATCCTACCGTGTACAACAACTCTTAAAGGTCGAACTTTGGCACAGTTCGACCCCAAGGACACACGCCCTAATGATGAGTGCTTACTTGCCCGCTGTCGGTCTGCCTTTGCAGCATGTATAAGCGCAACCGTTTGATTTTAGAGTTCGCTACATATCTGAAGAAACAAGGGTGATTTATAAGAAAGGATACGGTTATATTTATATTTACTCGTACAATAATATTACCATGTATTTATCCCATTATAGGTTTAATTTTTTTGTTTTATTGAATTATAATATGCGCGCATAAAACTAAACCGTTTGATGTTGTGGCGTTAGTCATAGATGATTTTGTATGTACACCCAATTACAGAACAATACAGTTATCAGAGTGCCTAGAAGTCAGTATCGGCTGTATCAAGTACATATGCTGGGACCCTTATATCACACGCGTTTCCGATAGGTTCTAAACGGTCGAAGACGGTTCACACGTTTATATACTCTGAAAACGCAACAAACTGCACAGAACCTCAGTGGATGTAGTCAAAACGGGACAATTCCCCTCCGGAGCACCCAGTCCACACGTTTTACGCAAGCCTGATTCACACCACACAAGCAGTCCTGCTCACTCTTCATGCATGCTCCTGTGCTCGACTCAGCTTTCCACACTGCCAAGACCTCTTCAGTCAACAGATTCAGCGGTACTGCTGTTACTGGGATATCCCCTGTGCGCACTAAAGCACAGGAGTTTGTATTCAATCGAATGGTGGCGGAAGCGGGTCCAGCGGAGGCGGAAGAGGGTGGGATGTTGGCGCAAACCGCAAGCGGGATGGAGGCTGTTCGATCGAGTGGCGGGAAAAGTGGCGAGATTCCGGGACGTATTTCCGATCTGGACACCGTTTCAGACTTGGGCGGGGGGGATTTGTCAGTGGCGGGGAAATCACATGAAGCAGACGCGCTGTTGAGAATTCTCACAAGGGCTTCGCTTGGGGAGGATGCGGTGGAGAGCGGTGTGGAGGAACAAGATTCTTCGCTTCGGAAGAACGCTCTTTGCAGTGAGGCGATCGAGCCGCCGTTCCGCGCGGAGGGTACCTCGTCGGGAGCGACAGCAGTGCTACCATCGGACGGAATTCGCGATAGCAACGAGCAGCAGAAGCAGCAGCAGCAGCAGCAGCACGAGCCGGTGCGCGACGATCGTGAGAAGCAACCGCCGCTGATCCCGGGCCTATCGGACGACGTCGCGCGGCTCTGCCTCGCGCGCCTTCCCCGCCGCAGCCACCGCTGCGCGCGCGCCGTGTGCCGCTCCTGGGCGTCGCTGCTCCGCTCGCAGGAGTTCTTCACCCTCCGCCGCACGATAGGGCGACACGAGCAATGGCTCATCGTGCTCGCGGGGGGTAGAGGCAACCGTCCGTTCCGCTTAGAAGCCTTCGATCCCTCGCTGCTGCCGCCGCCGTCCGTTCCTTCGCTCGTTAGCCTCCACCCGATAAGGTCACACTTTTTGTGGGGGTGCCAGCTGGCGACGGTGGGTCGCGGGCGGTACGTGCTCGTGATTGGCGGCGCGGTTGGGACGGACGCGTATCACACGCAAAACGCGGTGTGGCGGTATGACGGGGTGACGGGGCGATGGTCCTCCGCGGCTCCTATGCTGGACGCGCGGAGTAACTTCGCGTGCGGAACGTTCGGGAGGTTCGTTGTCGTCGCGGGAGGATGGGACGCGCAGCGGGAGCCGTTGAGATCCGCTGAGGTGTACGACTCTGAGAAGGACACGTGGCACAGGTTGATTGGTTTGAACAGGAGGCGCGGGCAGTGTTTGGGTACAGTGTTTGACGGGAAGTTTTTGGTGCTCAGTGGAGTGGATCGGATTGCTAATAACGGGACGACTATAACGACGACGCTGGGTTGCTGTGAGGCAATGTCTCTTAGCGAGGATGGATTGGAACGCCTAGTGAGGCAGAAGGAGAGGCGGGAAGAGGAGGATATGGCGAGGGAGAGAGAGGAAGGTTCAAACACCGAGATCGGGCGTGAGGGAGAGGGTGGGAGAGAGGGAGAGGGAGCAGGTGAGAGGGATGGTGCCAGGAGCAGGTGCAGGGCTCATGGGGAGTCTTGTGTGACTGTAGGGGCTGGGGAGACGGTGAGAGGAGAGTTGAAAGGCGACGGGGAGAAGGGAGGGAGATTGGGGCAACACGACGGGGAGCAAGAGGGGGGACGTGAGGAGGGAAGTGCGTGTGGTGTTGCGAGTGTGAGGAGAGTGTTGGGGAGCTTTGGCAGCACAACCACGGATAGTCGCACAGGCAGTTGCGAAGAGCAGACGAAGCAGGAGCAGCCGGAGGAGCAAGAGGGGCGTGAGGGCACTGAGGGCAAAAAGGAGAGGAAAGGAGAGGAACAGCAGCAGGAACAGCAGCAGCAGGAGCAGGAGCAGCAGCAGCAGCAGGAGAGGCACGCCCTTGGTTCCGACGGGTCTCTCTCCTGGTCAATCATGGAGGCAGCATGGCTGCTCGTGTCCCTACCAGGCTCCCTCGCAGTCGTAGAAAATCGCCTCTTTGCCGTAGCAGACATAGGCTCATCACTCCGGGAATTTGACCCGGAAACAACTACGTGGTGGGATGTGCTCCAGGTGCCGTATCCCCAGAAGGGGTTTCGGCTGCTAGCGCTGAACCAGGGGCTGCTGCTGTTGGGGGTGTATGGTGGGCACTGGCTGATTCCGCAGAAGCTGCCGCTGGGTCAGGGGTTGAGTGCGGCTGCGCGGGCGGATGGGGCGGTGCGGAGCGGTGTGGAGGCGCGGCGGCAGCGGCAGGCGGTGCACTGGGATGGGCTGTCGCTGCTGCACACTGATGCTCTTGCCTGGGCTACTCTCACTCTCTGATGCTCCTGCACTGCACACTCTCCTCATCTCTTCTACCTCTTCCTCTCCCGCTCCACCTCTCTATGTCTTTCTCTCTCTCGCTCTCTCCTCTTTCTCGTTTTCAGCAGCAGGTCTGCTGCACAGCCATGGCTGTTTATTCCCTGCGGAGCCTCCAGCCGCCGCCCTTTGAACTACCGTATTCAGGAAAGCTACTAGCTGATCAACAGCAATGCTGATAGTCAGCCGCGCATGGCCTTGTGCTCGCCGTTCTTCATTGGCATGGCAACAGCAACAGCAACAGCAACAGCAACAGCAACAGCAACAGCAACGGCAGCGCTGGTTGCCCTTTGAGACGTTTCAAAGGTGCCGTATTGGTGCCGCCACAGCTATGCTGATTTGTTCTGTGCCATACTGCCTGACATGCGTCCTCTTTTCCTTCACATTGTTCATTGACACTGCTTACAGCAGCAGCACCCACATTGGGTGTGTCGTTCCCTCCCTTATGTCTTCCATCAAGCAATTGCATTGAATCTGGTCATCTCAGTAAAGAGCCTACAATGTCTCACTCACACGATCAGCATGATTTCTCACAGCACGCGGGCTACAATGGCTGTTGCCGTATTATCTGCAAGGGACAGGTGTGCGTGCGAAACATTTGAAAACCTTGCTGCAGGTATACGGTACCACTAGGTCCAATGACGTTTTGTCACCACTAAAGATGCTCTAAGCGGTGGTACCTATTTTCACCAACTCGCTTGCAAGCTCGCCATCATTGGCGGCGGTACTGGTACCGTATAAATAACGGGCTCATACCGTAATCCATTCAATCGAAGCCTTCGCAGGGCACATTTGATTGAAGCTGCCGTGACGCGTCTGAAGCTGCAGTTCACATCCGAAGCTGCCGTGTCGCATCTGAGCCTGCATCCTCCATACCTCCTCGGTGCATGATACGCTAACAGATGCCTTGCTTTGCCGGCTGGGTGTTGGTCTCAACGGCAGCAGCAGCGGTTCCATCCCATGGCCCCTTCTGAGTGTTTCTACAAGCCAGCCCATGAGTCCATGACTGATCCCTGATCCCCTTGCAACGCCTGTACCCTACAGCTTCCAGATTTTATCAGGCCCGTAGGTCATCCGTCCGTGCCCTTAAAGCTTCTTGCTTTTCCTGCAGTTGTCCACGTGGAAGAGTCCTATTGGAGAGTGCCCAGTTCCATTAGCTGTGTAGACTCTGTTTCTTTGTTTACCCGAGCTTCCCTAACCACTTCAGCAGCAGCAGCAGCAGCAGCAGCAGCAGCAGCATAGCCAACACCAGTTGCACTTGCTCCGGCCGATGCTTCCCCACCTGCTGTTCCACACTCCGCTGCCTTCTGCAAGTCAAACTCCAGTTTTCTCACAAGCCCTCTCTGCTCCTCCTGCTTCATCCTCACCATTCCTCTCTTCAAGCTCACCTCACATCCTGCTCCTCCCCCTCTTCCCTTCCCCCCATCCCTCCCCTCGTTCCCTAACAGCCGCCTTTCCTCGCCCTCCCCCCCCATCTCTCCCATTTCTGCTTCAACTAACCCAACCCTTCCCTCCTTCCCTCCCGCCTCCTCGACCGCATCCCCCCGTCCCTCCCCCTCCTCCTCCTCCTCCTCCGCGTCCTCCCCGTCCAGCTCTAATTGCTCAACCACCTCACTCTCTGGCCCTCCTTCTGGAAGCAACCCCAGAGCCAGCAGCGGCAGCAGCCGTGTACACATCCTCACAACCACAGCCATCCACAGGTTACTATAGCTGTCCCTCCTCACCCCCACCGCGTGCAGCAGCGCCGCCCCCCACCACTCGGAACAAGTAATCCCAAAGTTACTTGTCGCCATGTAAAAGGCGAAGAGAGTTGCCTCGATTCCCGAGGGGCACATGCGGGCCGCTAGAACGAGGATCGGCATGATTTGGATGCGGCCCATGGCTAGCGAGAAGGCCTGGTCGCCGATCACAAACGCGTGGTCCGGGATGCCGAGCCTGAGGTTCGTGCGCGTGACGAGGAGGAGGTCGAGGAAGCAGGTGGCAAAGAGGAGGAACTGGGAGGGGGTGGGGGTGGGGGGGGGGGGGGGATGTGAAGGGGAGAGGATGGGCTAAGCAGTCGTGCGCAGACTTGTGAGAGATTTGTGAGTTTTGAGGAACCTGTGCTGGACGAGTGAGAGATTCCTCAAAACTCACACACTCGTCCAGCACTCACTCACTCACTCACTCACTCACACGCACCTGTGTGCAGAAGAGTATCGAGCGGTAGGTGAAGCGGCGCAGCCAGAGGTTGTATGCAGTGACGCCCAGCAGCATGCCCACCTGCCCCACTGCGCCCACCATGCCCATAAACACCTCACTGAACCCCGGGCCCTGATTCTCGTCCGTTAGCCAGAAGAACATTCCCGAGGTGATGTTTGGGACTACCCCGCCCTGGTGGATGGCGGAAGGAGTAGAGGCGGCAGAGGGAGTGTGGTGGGACGCATGGCAGACATGGTTATAGGGTGTGAGAGTGCGCTGTGCACCCTGCTTCTCGTCCGTTAGCCAGAAGAACATTCCCGAGGTGATGTTCGGAACCACCCCGCCCTGGTGGACGGACAGGATGGCTAAGAGGCAGGGGGGAAAGGTGAGTTTTATGGAGTGTACGTGCTGGTGGTCGTCCGTGAGCCAGAAGGACAGGACATTCCCGAGGTGATGTTCACGGCTACCCGTCCCGTACACCATGGCACAGCCTGGCACGGCAGGCACATCACACCACACCACACCACACCACACCACACCACGCCACCACATGGCACAGGCCTACACCACGCAGCACCCCTCACCTGCACGATAAATATAAACAGCGCCGCCCTCGCAATCTTCCGGTGTCGAATCGTACCAATGAAGCGGCGCCACGTCCTCTTCAACATCCTCACATCTCCCCTCCTCTTGCCCTCGGGCAGGCGCGTTTCAGGGAGCAGGAGCGCAGCCACGATGAGGGAGAAAGGCGCGAGGGAGATGAGGAAGAATGTGCCGCAGGGGCCGAGGCGTTCAATGAGAGAGCCGCTGATGGTGTAGGTGAGGAGCGAGGCGAGGGCGAGACAGGCTACTGGGAGGGTCTGGTGTGCGGGGAGGGGGAAGAAGGGGTGTGGAGGGGGTTGAAGAGTACAATGGGCAGGGGAGAGGAGAATGAGAGAGAGGGGACAGGAGAGTGGGAGAGAAGGAGGAGGGAAGGGGCGGGGAGGGGGGAAGAGGAGAGGGGAGAGGAGAGAGAAGACAGCCCCGAAGAGAGGGAGGGAGGGGATGGGAGAAGGCAGAGGCAGAGGCAGAAGAGAGGTGCTGACAACTCCCCCCTCCCATGCTCCCCTCCCCTCCCCCTCACCCCACTGTGAATCACCTGCAAATCCGCGGCATAGGAGGGGTGCACGCGGATCTCCTGCGCCACCATGCCATCCACCACCACATCTGGCACGGCACAGAACAGCGACTGTGTCACCAGCAGCGCCGTTGCCACTGCTGGCACGAGCGCTGGTATCCCCCCCAGAGCCCACCACGCTGCTGTGCCGATGACTCCTGACAGAGCTATGTAGGGCCACCGCTGGAAGCTGGTTGTGAGTGGGATGGAAGACGGGGAGAGGGGATGGAAGACGGGGAGAGGGGATGGAAGACGGGGAGAGGGGATGGAAGACGGGGAGAGGGGATGGAAGACGGGGAGAGGGGGTGGAAGACGGGGTGGGGGTGTGAGGCACGCCCCCCAGCGCCCACCACGCTGCTGCGCCACCGCTGGAAGCTGGTTGGGGGAGGTTTGGGGGAAGGACGGAGGAGAGGGGATGGGGCAGGAAGATTGCTTGATGTCAGGCGCTAGTGGGGCCGTGTTGACAGTCCTTCAAGCAGCTTCGAGTAGACAGCATTAGATATGTCACATGTGCAAGGCTGAAAATAAATTTTCCTTCAAGCAGCTTTTAAGAGATGCTCGCAGGGAGGGTCGGTACCACGAGGAAGGAAGGAAGCGGGGGAGGAAACCAGTGAGAATGAGCGGGCGGAAAGGGAGAGGGGAAGTTGGTTGGAGAGAGGAGAGAGGGAGGGGGGAGTTGTGGGACTGAGGTGAATGGGCGCGGCTGGGGAGAGGGAGGGAGAAAGAAAGTCCAGGCACGGAGAGGATGAGGGAGGCAGGCGGAGAGTGTGGGGAAGAGGCAGAGAGAGAGAGAGGGGGTGGGGTGGGGTGGGAGAAGCGCGGTGCGCGCACCCGAGGATGGGGAAGGTGTCGGTGATCATGCCGTACAGCGGCTTCACGTCCCATGGGATGCCCACGAAGCTCTGCATGCACGGCACGGCGGGCACGGTGTGTGCGCATTCGATGGGGTGCAGAGTGAGGGGCGTGGCGTGTGATGGGGGGCCGGGTGTGGGGTGTGGGGTGTGGGGTGTGGGGTGTGGGGTGTGGGGTGTGGTGTGGGGTGTGGGGGGTGTGCTGTGGCGACTTCACGTATTGATGGCAGGTAAGAGAGCGAGGCGAATTGGGAAATGGGGGGAAAAGAAAGGGTGGGGGGAGTGATACACTCAACAAGCACTCAGACAGCAGCTTTCAGCATCGCCACATCATGCCACGTAATGCAACGTAATGCCACGTCAAGCCACGTAATGCCATGTCACGCCACGTCACGTCACGGACCATGTAGAACTGAGCAGCGGCGGGCTGCAGATGCTGCACGTCCTTCCAATAATAACTCAGCGACAGATCCGTGAGAGAGCTAGCATACCCCTGATTAATCCCATACGTCACCATCACCACTCCCAGCAGCGGCCACCCGAACACGCGCCCTAGCTCCCGCATCCACGCCGCTATCCCCGTTGTAGGGCTCGCGACTGGAGAGAGGAGTTGGCTACAGAAGCGTTTCAAGCGCGCGGGTCGCCTGGTATCGTCGTGCCGTTGCAGGGTGATGAGGGATAAATCGTCTTCCACGTCATCATCAAGTGGGAGATTTGATTCGCTATCCTGCTCTCCGTTCCCCCTTCCCCCGCCGTTTCCCCCTTCCGCTCCGCTGCTCGCCCCGCCCCCTGCTGCTCCCCGCGCGCCCGCTTCCGCGGGAAGGATCTCCGTTCCCCCTCCGCCTGCCTCGTCCCGATAAATATCCGCCGCTGCGGAAGAGAAAGCGGGGGGAGCGGCGACTTTCGCGCTGGGCCCCGCCTCCGCGTCTCTGTCGGTGTAAGTGCTAGTAGCGCCATTTGTGGCGGCTTCCCCCGCAACAGTGGGAAAACTGGGGGGATTCTCGATTTCTAAGGCGATGGCGGAAGGGGAGATTCGTTCCGCCTCCCGCACGGGGCGGGGAAGACCACCGGCGCTCGGCGGTGAGAATTGGGCGGAAGGAAGGCCCGCCATTACGGCGGAGATGGAAGCGGCGACCCGTGGGAGAGGCGAGAAGAACGGTGATCGTGAAAGGGCCGGAGACGGGCTAAGGGAACGGCATAAAAAGGAGAAGGCTTGACTGACTGTGTGTGCCTCTAAGTGAACGATTGATTGGGGTACATTATGCTGCTGCTGTCGTCATAGTATCATGCGACGGTCCCTTCGCGCTGCCGCATTGTGGATGAGCACGAAGGGATGGAATTGATAAATAGGTCCAGCAAAGTCACCGCGTAAGAAATGGACACAGGTGTTGAGTAGTTGCGACGATTCCGGCAAATAGCCACAGAAGGAGAACTCCGATGCGAAGCCGGAATTTGCGGCGATTAGAGCGTGTCTCAGGCTCAGCGGTGACAGTAGTCTCATTCAACCGCTCTTGACCGCAGCGCCGCCCTGTGAACCGCGATCACAGTACGATTGAAACACGCCCTAGTGCAGCGCCACACCACACTAATGGAATCCTAAATTGATTCCTCCCAAATCCGAACCTGCTAACGTCAAGTAAATACACACTTCGGCATGGCAGCACCTGGCTCAGCTCTATGATTGGTTTGGTTAGGTTGGATCTTAGGTGGAGCCTGCCGAAGCTGCGCAAAGCAGGGCCTGCAGCAGCGCGAGGCCCTATCAAGCACTGGCGCAATTCTGCTGTTCCCTACCTGCCGAATCTCTGAATCTCCAAGCCTGTGCCGGGCCTGCACGACACCTCGAGACGATAAGGTGCTGGTTGAACCAGCGGTGGGGCTTTGGTTTAGGTTCGGCGCTAATTCATAGCCTAGTCCATGTTGCTCCGCTAAAAGCAGAAGAGGTGGTCAACTATTTTACATCGGAGTTCAGAGCATAATCCACAATAAGAGCTCATAAGAGATGGTAGCATGTCACTACGTTTCTAAGCTGAAGAAATTCACAAACAGGCGATACACAATTACAGTGCAGGGAAATTTAGCTGATATTCTTGATGCCTGTGACCAAACAATGGGATTTAAGAAACTAACATTCACTAAAAGCTCTAGAGTAACACAAAGTAACATCGGGCGATCTTCCTAGGGTGGACATCTGTCCATCGTCTCATGGTCCTGCTTCCAAGGAGCACTCGCAATCCTGGTAGTCACTTCATGTTGAAGTAGTAGCGCCATTACCACCACCAACAATAGCTGCTGCTGCCATAGCAGCAGCACCACTGAAAATGGCGGCAAAGAATCAGTAACACCTACAGTTGCCATCAGCACCTACACCTGGAATAAATCTCTCATGGTCAGTCACCCACGTCTGCCTCCCCAAATTTCCGTGGGGCTCCAGGCAGCACTGAGCCTCAGTACATCACCAACTCCCATTCATCGCTCATGTGGCCGTAGGAGCTGCTTCAGCCGTAACCGTCACCTTCATTCCCGCCGCACATTTTGAGTACACTCCAGAAATGAAATACACTGGATCCGCGGTTAGTGGATCAGTCTTGCAGCCGACTACACCGTCCGACGATCGGCACATCATTTCGAAGTTTTTTACGTCGCAAGCATCGTAGTCAGCCTGAGTTGGCACCTTGTATACTTCGTCTAAGCCGTCCGGGTACTTGAAAACTGCATGTGGGGGATGTACAAGCAGGATGACAAGACAATAATGGATCAATCTGCAACATCTGAATAGGCCGAGGCGGCCATGATTTTCCAGAATCGCAAAGATCATTGGGCCGCAAACCCGCTAATCTCACATACTATTCCGTAATAAGTCACTGTACTCACCAAGAGAATCTCCGACGTATATCGTAGTAGTCGCAGCCCAGTCGGTGAAGTTAACAGCAGGGTTCCACTGGTATGTGTAGCCAGGCATTATCTTTCCTACATAGACGTTCCGCGGGGTGCCGCGCTGAACCACTGAGATGTTCAGCTGCGGTAGACGGGATGGGAGATAGTAGGCGAAATGGGGATCAACAAGACGTGCGTAAGGAAGGTGAGAAATAGCAACCAGAAAGAGTCGCGGCGTAAGGGTTTCGTGGTCACGATTTGGAAGACGGCAAATCAGAAAAAGAATATCCAAAACATCAACCGGGGGTACCCAGAGCTTCACGCTCTACCGTCGGCGTTGACTTGTGTTGACCTGCATGAACTTCCATTACCCCCGGCACTGACCTTGCTATTCCAGGTGCATCGTGCAATCATGCCCGACGCGAAGAGTGCGAGCCCGGGCGTGTCGACTCGCACCGTGCATCCCGCCTCGCCGTCCGTGTCGCTGCAGACCTTCGTGGCTTTCCAGAACTGGCACCGCTGAAAAGCCGTGATGTCGTCAAACTTATAAACCTCGTCGGAGTAGGCGGGGTAGTTAAACACTGGTGGGAGTGACGTGGGGGAGACGACACGAGGATGCGAAGGATGAAAAGAGACGGTTACGGTCGAGAAGAGTTAAAGACGGGCATAACAAAATAAGGCTCTTTAGAAGGGGAAGGGCCGGCCGAAAGGGGATGGAAGCGCGCATAACAACATAGGAAAGCTGTTTCTGAAAACACACTGGCACACAGTTCGCCTCTCACCAGTCTTCACTCGTACCGGGCATACGCCACACACGTACCTAGCACATCTCCGGTATACACCGTGTTTTCGTCTGTTGACGCCCAATTAGCGTAGTTAACTTTGGGGTTCCACGCGTAGTTAAACTTCTCGCTCGTGCTACCGACCGTGATGTACCGCCCTCCTGTTGCCGGTGCCACGGGGGTTGCTCCCCGCGCGCCGCACGCCATGGCGACGACAAGGAAGAGGCTCGTAAGAAGACGCGAAAAGGGTAATAGAGACGACATCACTTGCGGCGCCAGTGTCTTCGTTGACTGCTTTCTCAGCGCTGACTTGTGTCGCGAAAGAGAGGAAGGACTACCTACGGAGGCAACCGGCGGCCTCACCATGCGTTCACGTCTACGAGCTGATTTAACGTCCTTTCGAATAGGTGTGATCGGTTCACGCGACTAAGAGCTCCTCGTGTGGTTTCTGTTTCTCTTGCTTACCCGCCGAAGGGCAACACTGAAGCGTCTGATCTACTGACTGGACCCTAGAGATCACTACAGCTGACTCTCTCTGCTTCTCAAGCTATCTTCAACACTAAAGCGCATAAAGGAGAAGTCGGGCTGCGCACACTCCTTCTGCAGGAAGACAGATGCGGATCGTTGTTGTGTCACCGAAAGCAGCATAAACGGGGAGGGATTGCCGGGTTGAGGCTCGTGAGTATGCGTGTAAGAGGACGAGTCCAAGGGCTGATTCAGAGGGAACTTTTCCGAGCCAGAGGAGCTGGTGATGCCTACTTGCTCGGGAGAGTTTGTGATTGGCCAGTTATGGGCGCCAGTCGATGATTGCAATAGGTGGTCACAAGTTTCCGTCAAGCCACTAGCGGCTTTGGCAGTGGTACGGAACTCACAAGCCAATGTTTCCGTGTTTGTCGGTAAGTGGCGGCTGCTCTCATTTTGCGCTTTAGGACCCGAGTCGAAACTCTGAGAGCAGCGTAGGTCGCTTGTCCGTGGATGAAGTGATGGCCGGGTTTTTGGCCTGGTGCAATGTTTGCTGCAGGCAAGCGCGTGGAGGAGAGTTCAACTTGACAGCGGATTGACACCTGCAAGTTCATCCATCACGATTCACCACGTCGTCGCTTGATAAGGGCATGCCCACAATCTTCAATGTTTCTCCGCCGAACCGCAATGCACCAATGTCGGGAGGACTCGCTCCGTTCGTGGGACCCAGGTTATGTGGCATCTCGGAAGAACAGCAGCAGCCCGAACTTTGCGGGGCGCGCGGTGCGGTTGCTGGTTTTTGTGAAACACCGCAACAAGAACGTGCGCGCTGATTTGTGCTGGCAGAAATGAGACACGTAACACCAGCTGTTCGTGCTACTGTCGCGCAGTTTGCGGAAGGTGTTTGTTGCTTGCGTGCGATTGCAAAAGGTTTGTTCTAGTTCAAGAATGGTTATGAGAGTGCTAGAATGGTCGACTAAGGTTCTGAGAATTGGTTCTGTCCAGTGGTCAACTTTGACACCACAAAGTTAAAAAGAGTATTGACTCGATTCGATTAAAAAGGATCGCCTGGCTACACCGTATTAGTCAATCAATAATTCAGTATTAAGCACCAAACAGCATTGAATGAACTAGAAATATCAGCTTTATTAAAATATTAACCGATGATGAAAACGATGAAAATGCACTCTCAAAAGAGTTTTCATATTATTATCTGCTGTAATATCGGTTGGGATATACAATGTATTAACATGTGAAATTGGTATAAAGCATAAAACAAATAATATTATTTCAAGCCTATATTCAATAATTATTATATCCTACTTTACTAAAGCGTCCATTCCCACTGCATGAGGGGTGAATAATAGAATGACGTGCTACATGAGTGGGGAAGGAATATCGAGCCTTTGTCTGCTTGGTAGGCTCTAACACGCAATAACGAGTACTGTCTTGGCGCAGTACTGTGGCATTGCCCCAACCACAAGCGCGTGGCAGGAGGAGGGAAGGCCAGCTCGTCTGATGGCTCAGACTGAAACTTTCAAGCAGTCGTCACACACATCAACCAATCGTATACCTTGCCAAGCAGATTCTGGCGCCACTTTTCCTGCGCTCCATGCCAGCAAGCGCTGGCAGAGCGCGCGAAGACAGAACCGAAAGACGGCAGAGCCCGCGAAATGTGAAAATGCTACCTTTTCGCGAATAGACCAAGGAGCACAGAGAAGAGCCCGCCGCGGCGCGCGTCGAATTTCAAAGCGGAGGTAGTTCAATTGCAATGAAGAGTACACTCAAGTCACCGTATCCGATCTCTCCCCACCCATCGACTTTCTAAACACTGTAAGGGTTGTCCAGCTCGTACA